GCTTGTGTTTCCTTTTTGCTAGTTGGTGGAGACATGGCTGTTATTTTGTTGATCACATCCATTGGGATCTGACGACATCCATCTTGCCATTTTATTCCTAAAAACTGGATCTCCTGTGCAGGTCCCTTGACCTTACTTTGTCTTATGGCAAAACCGGCCTTCAGCAGGATTTCGACTATTTTCTTCCCCTTCTCAAAAACCTCTCCTGCTGTGTTGCCCCACACGATGATGTCATCAATGTACTGTAGGTGTCCCAGAGCCTCACCCTGTTCCAGTGCAGTCTGGATCAGTCCATGGCAAATGGTAGGGCTGTGTTTCCACCCCTGGGGCAATTGGTTCCAGGTGTACTGGATGCCCCCATGCATTCTTTTAGAATTGAAATTGAAATATATATGCTTGTAATATTTGATAGGCTATATATTATATATAGAATAACATAGCATATACTATATACTCTGTACACATATGTATAAAATTTATATAGGTATGGATAGATGTAGCAAGCAGGTCTTTCACAATCAGTAATCATATGGGGTGCAGGGGGAGCAAAGAGGGGGAAATGCTGAAACAAATTCCTCCAGTTAGCAGATAAAGCACAAGAAAGCACTCTACTCAGATACACACAGTGGATCGGCAATGGAAGGACTGCAAATTTGAGCATGCATAACCAATACTGGTAAGTATGTTCCACAAGAGAAAATTAGAACTTCTTTCACAGCAAAGGTGGCTCATAAATCAGGATAATTGTATAAGTAGTGAAAACCAATTAGAGATGAAAAACAATTCTTTCTTCCACCAGCACTTTATCTAATTCTTCATTAAGCAAGTCCATAAAGTTCAATCCCTCGATTCCTTTTCAATATCCAGACACATCCCAATACACCTCCATAAAACCATTCCCTTTCATCATAAGCTGTTATAAATCAAGTTACACTTTCCCAGTAGTTTTAAACCTGCTAACAAAGATCATCTGTGCTAAAACTGCAAGGAAGGTTTTCCTTTTCTAATATTCATTTTAAAATAAAATATACTCATTCACGAATCTTAAAAGTCTGTATGCGTGAGCTGCTCTTTTGGCTACTAATTAATTTGTGGAATAATATTAGCGTTTGTTATCATTCTTATGACTACAAAGTCCTAAAATAACTCTTCATCATATTAATAATTAATTGTAACTCAGTAACTTAAATAACGAGTCGATAGATACAGAAATACCATTTCTACATAACTTGCTTTAAATATATATATTTTTTTATACTACTATTTAAATTTTACAAGACTCTTTTTACCGACTATGACTAAGGCTAAGCCAGCATTCCACTTAAAATCTGTTTTTAAAGGTATTATTAACCTAGCTGTTAAAATCATATGCAACTTTAAATTCAGTGTAAGTTTACCTACTACAGCACTCACTGGAAGTACATACAGCAGTAATTGAGGACTAAAGAGTGAAGCTCCACAGACTCTCTTTAATCTGTTGGAAAAATATTGCATTTGCATGCATGACTTAAAATAGCGATGACAATCATATTTCATTTATATGCTTTTGGATACTCTTCTGAATAGTCGTCAATGAGATGGAATGTCACGCACAAAAAAATCTGCAGTAATAGAGGTATGCTGTTTATAGCTTTTAAGTTCAGAAAAACTAAAAAAAGATTAAAGAAATACTGTGTTTCTTAAAATGAAAGAAACCTGTTTTCCATAGCCCATCTCCTACAACAAGTTTAGGTAAAATTTACAACTATGGCATTCTCATACTGAATCCATATCTTGCTTATAAATGAATATCCTGTACAGAAAACAGTATTTCTATATAAGTAATATGACCAGTCTTCCCTCAGTGACAGTGAAATGGTTTTTAATCACAAAAGCTTAAAACTACTATTTAAAAAACAAAACAACAACAAAAAAACCCACCCCACCACGACATCCACCACCACAGAAAGTCACTATTGGAAATGTTTTCTTGCTGTTTTTCCTTTCAAATAAATGTTAATTTAAAACCAAAAGATAACTTCAAAAGTGACTGAGTTATCTGTTTATTTAGCATAAGAGACAAGAAAAGCAAGTGTATTCCTTACCAAGATTCACTCTTGAAATATACTTTTACTACTAAAATTCCATACTTACCACAGGAACAACCATTAGCGTTATTCCTGAGGTTAACCATCAAAGTCAGAGCACCCAACACTCCTAGAATAAATATGTAATTTGTAGCATAAGTAGTAGTTTTTTAAATCATTCACCTGCTTAAAAATTAACCACCTCACACATTCATCTTCTGGTTTTCTCCAGCCCAATAACCGCATGGTACAGAAAACCAGGAGGCCATTTCATCATCCAGTTTTAAATATCTCTTTTAAATCTCTCTTTTCAGTAGTATCTCAATAAGCGCCGCTGTGATTATAACACTAGCACACAGACATTACCATATCAATGAGCTCTATAGGAATTCCCTAAAGTTCTCTACTAATATACATTGCCTCTCATCTTTCAGTCTCTGGAGATGGGAGCCACAAGTTCGTTCCCTGTTCAAAGGCATACCAGGGCACTGTAGATGCTGACCTACAACTAAGGCACTAGGGTAACACTACTGGACAAAATACTTCATGTTTTTAAGCTTCATAGAATCATTGTGGATTTTGCTTTTCCTTCTCTCATACAAAGAGAATCATTTAGATTCAAACAAGAAGGTAAAACAAAAGTCAGCAACATTAGCCTAAAGAACCCAGAATATTAAGAAGAAAAATTGACAGATTTTAACTCGATGTGGGAAGAAGCGGAGAGGAGAGGGAAAGAGCTGTACAGCAATCTTGTCTTATGAACCAATATAGAATTTTTTTTTTCCAAAAGTCTTGCGAGCAAAGAAAAAAAGAGAAGTTATGACTGTCATTCTAGTTTTTCTAGAGAACAGGAGAAGATTACATGTAAAATGAACAAATAAGTAGATTGGATCCAGCTACCTAGCATGGTACCATCCCCTCCCCTCTGCCATCTTTCAAGTAGCAGTGCTACCTAACAGGAGCACTAAGCGTACCAGAGTCACGACGACATTTCCAGTGATTCCTTTCTTTAGGACCTAGGGATCTCAGGAGATCAACAACCTAACTTCTGTACCTCTGTTCATAACCTCACCCAACCCCCTTGAATATCTCCCTCCCTATATATAATACTACACAAAAATTGCCAGTACTAAGCTTCCTGAAAACATAAGAAAAAATTCTTAAATTATTTAACAAATAGAGAGAGAAAGGAACTAGCCAAGCATGCATCAGTGACAAAGCTGGAATGCACTGAATTTTTATACCACGCTGCATGAAATATGCATTTCTATTTTATATTTCTATATTCTATTTCTACATCATAAAAATATAGTAGTATTGTATTTGCAGTTGCATTGATGAAGTATTTTTCAAAAATCAAAAGGTCTGCCAGACACTTTTAGGTAGGCTATCTCAAAAAAAAAAAAAAAAATCTAATATCCTTAGGATACAGTCCTTGAAGATGTTCGGCTCAATGAATACTCAAGCTAACATATTATTTTTAGCACACAAAGGAAGTACATGAAGCATAGACAAAAGTCTAACAGCTGAAGTTTATGCATTACAGATGACTTTTTTCCCCCTCTAACTTAAATGGGACTATTATTAAATCAAACTACCTTATTTGACAGAGACAGTAAGATTTACTGGAATTTTAGTACTACCCATTAACTGTAAAACAAAACATTCTCAGCCACAACTCCTCCAATCTGAAATGAGCTTTAACTCAAAATCCAGATTAAACAAGGCTAGTTTTATTTTAGGTATGATATTTTTTATTTAGGTATGAATGTCAGAGCAGCTGACAATATCAACTGTTATTTCATTCACGTAAAATATTTCATTCCTCCCCAATGACTGCTCTTCCAGATGACTTTTCAGTTATATCCTTGAACACACATTCTAATGATCAACTCAAATGTCCTAAAGCATAACACAAATGCATGTTGTGTTGCAATTCAGTTTCTTATTACCATGGCTTACCTGCAACCCTTAGCAAATTTGCAAGTCCCAGGAGCTTAGCAGACTGCTTATAGTTCGTTGACAACTGAGCAAGACAGTCCTTGATGAGACTAAGTCGATCAGAACATAAACGCACTGTTGAAAGAAGAACTGGTGTTAGAGACTGTATAAATGAACCCTACTGCTGTATTTCTGGTTAAACAATGTAGATGCAGAAAGAGTGCTACGGAGTGTAAGACTGCAAACACAATCTGAAAACCAGCCCAAATGTACCTGCATGCAGATCCTCAATTAAGCCTATAAACAGAAAGTTAAAATAACACTACAATATATCCAGCCCCAATCACTAGCAAGTCAGGCTGGGAAGGGAGGAAGAAGAGGGAGATTGACCTGAATGAAAACTTATTTTTGTTTCAGGTTTTCAGACTCAATGTTTTTAAATTTATATGACTAACCATATACCTTTATACAATTTTTTTTTAGAATATCATTTTTGCAATATTCTCAGAAAGACTGCTAAAACAGACATTAACTTTCATTCAGAATGTTTTAAATAAAACATTAGTGTTTTATTTAAACTAATTAATGAAACTAATATTTCACGCTACATTTTATTTTAGGGTGGACAGGATACATCACACAGACTGAAAGAACTATCATAAGCAAAATCTTCAGGCTGTTTTAATTTACATAAATATTTTCTGAGCAAGTGAAGGGATAGCCTGCAAATTCACCAGGTTGTGTTAATCATATCCCGAGAAGCTTACAATTAGTACTGTGCTTCAAAAAATATTTTACCAAGAATTAAACAGTTACCTTAATTATATAATTTAATATCATGAACCAATTTCAGTGCTTTTTTTAGCTAGTTAGTGGGTGGCTAACTTCAGTCTGCTGCTTTAAAAAGTAATGTTTTCATACCATGCAAGTTCTCAGAACACAGAGGAACAGCATGCAGACCTTCCACTTAACACTCAGTAAGACATGAATGTCTGCATGGGGAATAAACTCTGCATTAGCATATTGGGCTTAAAACTTATGATGTTAGGGCTCTCAGTAAGAGCAAAGAAGCACTGGCAAAATGAAAACTCTATTAAAAAGTTCTGGAAATCAAATTAGACTAAAACAAACTAAGAATGGAGGAGCAGGAAAAGGTTACACTTTTAGTTTAATTTTTAATATTCTATCACACACATATATTAGTATACAGCAGTAAAATGTTTTCATTCACTGATCGTATAAGCAAGGTTTTTTGAAATATCTAACATAACTGAAAGTAATCTGAAATAATACCATGGGTCAAACGTTTTCATTAGATGGACTTTTCTTTACCTTTTATGTTAATAAGGAGTCTCCAAACCAGATTTTATTAATATACATCATAACAGCAGTTCACAACCTCAACTGCTGAGTTTGCTAAAAATACAAGTAAGGGGGGAAGCTCTACAGAAAACTAAACATAAAAGTGCAAATAAAAGTCTATTGTTAATTCTTACTGTGGGAATAACTGATTCTTAATGTTATTTTAATGACAGTCTATCAAAGTAACTGACCGTTTAAAAGCTTTCATTAAAACTTTAAAACATAATTTTAATCTTATTAGATTAATTTGATTTACATGAAAGATACTAAAGAAAGGATAAGTCAGGATCGTTAATGAAATTACAGGCATGATTTCACATATTCTAACTAATCTAGATCAGTTGTATTACACATACTGTTAATGTAATATTATGTTGCCACTTTGTTTAAATGATACCTTCATGTCCACACCAAAAAAGATGAAGAAAATACACATGTACTTCTCTACAGGCTGAACAAACTGACTAAGAAATAGTTCTGCTCTAGAAGTCAACAGTGCAATATTGCAAGATCTAGAAACCAAACATATTCTCGGTCCAGAAACGGTAAGGTTTCTGAATATAACATATAGACCATCAGCTCACTTTGAAGGAATACTCAGAAAAAAGAGAGAACAAAAAAAGAACACGAAAGTAACAACAGTCACTAAGAACAACCACTTTGTTTTCCATAGACCCACAAGTGCTCTCTATAAACCCCGGTATTTCTCTGCACAATGCCAAAAGTAAAACACTACCATCAGCACATTTCATTGGTCCTCAGTGTTCTTCTCAGCCAGTTCTTCTGGAGTGCTTTCAATACCAATGTTCATGCAGTTTCACATAGTTGCCCACATGCCGTACATTCAAGCTTCACTGAAAGCCTTCACAAGTGAGCTCTCTTGTATTTCTTTCACTTAGAAAAGTGGTTTTTCTGTTAATAAAGTGTATCCGGTTTGCGTGGCAAGGTTTTGGTAGTGGGACGGCTACAGGGGTGGCTTCTATGAGAAGCTGCTAGAAGCTTCCCCCATGTCCGACAAAGCCAATGCCAGCCGGCTCCAAGACGGACCTGCAGCTGGCCAAAGCCAAGCCCATCAGCGACAGTGGCAGCGCCTCTGGGATAACATATTCAAGAAGTGGGGGGGAAAAAAA